TCAATATCTGTCATTCTAGGGGAAGGCTCATAAGAGCTGGATTTTCACCACGCGAAAATTTACAAATATATTCACATGATAAAGTAGGAGACACAGTTCTTTTTCCCAAAAGATCAAAACACCGTCAACGGCCCAATGGATTGCCATGGTTACCTGAAGTTGAAACGTGCGCTGTTCTAGGAAACGGTGGAATTTTGAAAAGAAGTAAATGTGGAGACGAAATAGATTCTCATGATTTAGTGTTCAGATCAAATATGGCGCCAATTCAAGGTTTTGTTGAAGATGTTGGAAGAAAGACAAATCTTACAAGTGTCAACAGTGCACGCTCAAGAGAGCTTGTCAACTGTCTTAAGAATGCCAAATGCCGCAAAGCAAACTTACTATATATGAATACATACTTACGGGATGCAATTATTTGGTTTTCTAAAATACCTGCTATTTCGGCACGTTTTTACAAGAAATTTGTCAGCCAGCTAGGACTACAGAATCCCGATGTGGATTTCATTTATGCATATCCAAATAAACCTATAAAGATAGGAATAATAAAGTAAGTATGAAAATTATGACAATAAATATGAAATGAAATATTACTATACATAATATATATATATATATATATATATTGATTTTAATATTTGATAATAGTATATGTATGATTAGTATGTAATGCTAATACATATAATATTTTTATCGTTTATATTTATTTTTAACTTATTAATCTGCAAATTTCCATAAAGAGAGATATAGTAAAATGCTGCAAAATACAATGAACAATGCATTTGTCATTTTAAAAAGTCGGGTAGGTTATAATTGTTTGTGCAAACAATTTACTGATTAATAACAATGTTATACACTATCTTTTACAGATTTTTTGACGTCAAACTTCCATCGTCGGGCCTTTATTTATACTCGTTGGCAGGCACTGTTTGCAAAGAAGTTTCACTTTACGGCTTCTATCCTTTTAATCAAACGGAATCAGGACGAAATCTTAGCTTTCATTACTACAACGACCATGAAAAGTTCCAGAACTCTCATAATATGCCGAAAGAATACAATCAGTTGTTAACATTAAATCGTACCGGTGCTGTACGATTAGTCACTAAAGACTGCAAATAACTTACAATGTAAGGATTTTAACCCGTTATATCTCCTATAAATGATCTATTCTTCAGCTAATTCATGAAATTTCTTCAAGAGAATTGTATTTTTATTTTATGAAGAAACAGACTGGAAGTGTATTTGTATTAGATCATCA